TTGGCTTTGAATTGATAAAAGCGTTCGAGATCACCTCCCAGGGATTTTTTTTTTGGGGGGGGGGGGAAGAGGGTGGGTGTTGATTAATTTTAGAACATTTAAGTTGTATGGCATTGTATTTGTAGACTATTAAATAGTTCTACAAGTGCCAGCTAAATGTTACTTGGAATAGTACACATTCAGAGATTCAGTTTATCCAATTTCTGACAATCCCAGCCAATTGATGTACCGTACCAATGTCTGATGTTAATCACAGCCAGTGATGTACCAATGTCTGACAATAATCACAGCCAGTGATGTACCAATGTCTGACATTAATCACAGCCAGTGATGTACCAATGTCTGACATTAATCACAGCCAGTGATGTACCAATGTCTGACAATAATCACAGCCAGTGATGTACCAATGTCTGATGTTAATCACAGCCAGTGATGTACCAATGTCTGACATTAATCACAGCCAGTGATGTACCAATGTCTGACATTAATCACAGCCAGTGATGTACCAATGTCTGACATTAATCACAGCCAGTGATGTACCAATGTCTGATGTTAATCACAGCCAGTGATGTACCAATGTCTGACATTAATCACAGCCAGTGATGTAGCCAGAGCCTGTGACAAGGCTTACGTGCGATATATATCAAAATGTATTTTCTGTATATTTTCCGAGGGAGGCATTTAGTCGAAACGTCTAGATTTCCCGTTTGTCTTCAGATCAGCTTTATCACACCCCAGCCCTCTTTTAACAAGTGATCAGAGTTAATTACCCTTGACAGCCACTCAGATTTCTATTGAACAACTAGGTCGCCATGACAACACAGTCTGGGCTCTCACTGTCAGATTACCACCAAAAGCAGGGGGCAAAGGGGGGGCAGTCCACCCAGTGTGGGATTCTCCCCCTGATCTGGTGATTTTTTGGGAAAGGGGGGGGGGGAGGGGCAAAAAAATCTGTATTCACCCCGGGTGGCACTTACGCTAATTCCCCCTAGTTACGCAGCTGCAATACATCAATGAATGATGATGTACAAATGCTAAGTTTTAAGTTGAGAAAAGCCGTTTTAGTTACTAGAGATGGTGGCGGTGGCCTGCTGTATTTCTTATCTTGCTGGCTGCCGTCCATGGTTTGCCGTGTACAAGTCCCGGGGTTCATGCTGCTCTTTACTTCATAATTGTATTTGATTTTAATATCATGATTATGTCTCTTTTGATAATATGTGAATGTACAGCGCGGTGAGCCCAGCCCTAGTTTTACAGCATCAAGTTTTTTTGTGCGCAAAATTTGACAGCCCACAAACACAAACACACACTTACATGGAAATTTGCTGCGCGGTACTCAAAACTTAAAGGGAACATTGGTGGGGGGTGGGGTAATACTCAAGGGGGGGGGGGGAAACACCACCACCAAATGTCCTTTCTGGCTTAACCAAAGCCAATCCGGCAGCCCCCCCCCATACCCCCCCCCCCCCACCTTTTCAATCAGTTTCTTATCGATTGCAATGGCCCAGCAAAAGTATTTGCATTCGTAATCGCGATGATAACATCCCATACAAGAGTGTGCCAGATTGGGTTTTCAGAGATGATTTTTAACATTAGTTTGGCCCAAGGGTGCATTGATTCGTGTTATTGATGTTTTTGTGTGTGGGGATAGTGCAGAGGCGTAGCGAGGGGGTGGCAGGGGGGACAGATGTCCCCGGGCGCCAGCTAGTTAGGGGCGCCAAAATGTGCTTTGATATTATTTTATTGATGAAAATAATGGGTTTGAGAATTGATAAAAATAAAAAGGGGCGCTTTAAAATGGATCTTGTCCCCGGGCGCGAATCCTGTCCCCGGGCGCCAAACAACCTCGCAACGCCTCTGGGATATTTCCATGTTCTATTCTTGGTTCGATGACTGGGACTATTTTTTTTTTTTAGAAACATTGAAAAACGGACAACTCTCACAGCCGTTTGGTTGTTGTTGTTGCAGTTGTTGGTGCTCACGCCAATTAAAAGCAGAGCAAACGAACCCACCCCCCCCCCGCCCCACACACACACACTTTAAACCAACCGCACACAAGTAGACACGTGTTATCAAATAAATACGAAACTAACCTAGGGTGACCAAAGGCGTGACCCACTAGCTCGTAGGTCGTGTCAAACGTCCCGTCCCGTTCTTTTCACGATCGTACCCGGTGTCCCGAAAAAGTCTCTCTAGACGCCTAAATGTCCCGTCTCTAAAACCAAACACATTTTCACCTATTAGATGAAAAGGGGGTTTTATCAATGGCTGGGACAACAAGCAAATATCCTCAATTTAAATCCTATACTAGAGAAATTTTTTTTTTTTTGTGTTGTATTATGTTCAAAAATATGTATAAATAAATAAGTGTTCAATGCAAATTTTTTTGTTTTCGTTTATGACATGCCTCAGAGTTGAAATTAAATGACAAAAGTGAAGGTAAATTTAAAAAGATTTCTAGGTCTCAAAATAG